AGCGGTACTTTACAGTAGGAAATAATGTTACAAATATGTCGTCAATGTTCGAAATTCAAATTGTTGTAAAAAGAATCTTCAAAGTGCAAATTGTAGTGAAATAGATAGTGATTTGTATATATTTCAATTCAATATATTACACAGCACATTTATTAAAAAAATTATTATTTTATGATTTAAAATTAAAAACAGATAAGTTTAAAAATACAATTATACACATAAAATGTAAAAATCAGTTAAATTAATTGTATTTATATGATATTTTTAATAATTAAACCAAAAATATGTCAAAAAAAATATTAAATCGAGTGTGTATAGATCATTTTTCCAATCAAATACATAATACATCAGTTCTTAACTGCATTCCTAACAACTTTTTTGTTTGGTAGATGGTGGGAGATACCAAACAACGTTTTTTATTTGGTAGATGGGGAGAGAAGGGGTTTCAAGGATGTTAATTTTTTTTACCATTATGTGTGTCGGTTGTCTCAGTCTGTGTACCATAGCCCATTGCCCAGAAAAATCATTCACAGCCCAACTGTAAGGTCGCTGAATGTTGGGCTTTTTAACCCAATCTGCTAAGAGCTGACCATTTCTGTGGGTTGACAATTTGACAGCATAAGCCCTGCTCCTCTCTCTCTCTCTCTCTCTAAATTATATAATATTATATTAATATTAGGGATTAAATCATAACCCTATAATTAAGAGTCATCACATAGTAGATGGTATAAGTTTTTTTTCTCTTAAACTCAAGATTTTATTTAAAGAAAATCAAAATATTTTCATTCGAATTAACTAGTCATTTAATATATAAACCATATTTTTACCAAACATAAAAATACCAAAAAGCATTGGATGACCAAAAAATGAAAAATGTTTAATGACTAACTACACATTTCTAATTCGCTCATAAAGATTTTATAAGGAATTACTTATGAGTTACTTAGCTTCTCAAGAAATTGAATTTTGATTGATAAGGTGTGAATCAAAATCTTTTATCAACTAAACTACCACCACCCTTAATTCGTTAGAAAAAGAGGAAGGAAGAAGTAATTCCTTGTATAGTCATTAATATATATATATGGAATAAATAATGAGTATTTTGGGCCAAATAATACCCGTTTGGACTAACAAACCTACGAATTTAAAAGTTTTACTTTATTTTTAAAATTAAATATTTAAATCTTTGTAATTTCTAGTAATTAACCATTTAATATATCAAAATTTGGGTGCATAATTAGAGAAAACTATATTTATTTTATCGTCAAATTCATTTTTATTTTTAAATTTCTAAGTGGCAATTATGATGGAGATGATGAGCATCACATAGCAACCAAACAATTGCATATCGGATACAAAGAAAATAAATGATTTCTGAACGAAGAAGTACATAATTTCTGGTTTTTATTGTTGTGTTACGTTGACGCCCGAGGGTATGTACATATAGATCATTGCCATCCCCATTTAGAGCATGGCTTTTTACAATAAAAACTGAAAATTCCAAGCTCCAAGAAGAAAATTGTGGGGAAGAAGGATCTTACAACAAACTATGCCCTTTTGGAGAAGAAGCGGAAGAGTCAGATCTTGAAAAACAGGAAATTGCGACGCTGTGATTGTTGCTATGTGCTGTTCCTTTTAATTATTTTTATTTTTAACTTTTTCTCTCTCTCTCTCTCTTTTTTTTTTTTTTTTGCCTTCTTTTGGAGCTGTTAGGCGGAGAAGCGTCTGGAAGATCCAAACATCTGATCGAGGAGGATCACCAGAGCCATGGCCACGGAGGAATTGATGTCCGGCTGAACGATCAGGCGGAAAACGTCGACGCCGAATCCGACTCCACCAACCGCCTCTTTCTGCTTGATCTCCGCCACTGGCCTCCGATTCGCGTCGTACACGGCACAGCACCGTTGCGCGTACGATCCTTCTATCTGATAAACCGTGTTCTGTTTGCTGCTCCACGATGAGGACTGCGGCGATCCGTTGCCACTGCTGCTGTCCCCGGCGCTGACGTAAGCAAGACACTTGCTGTTCAGGATGTTCACGGGTTTCTTCACCGAGAATTGCGGATTCCCGGTGGCTTCCCCGTCGTACACTAGCCAGTGATCTCCTAGGCTCAATCTCTGATCCAAACAGCACGGAAATAACAAAATCAACACCATCATTTCAATCAATCGATTAATCCTGAAAAAATGCTAACATCATTGATGCTGGATTAGAAACTAACGTATATATACCTTGCGGCGGATGGTGAGGAGAGCCTTGCCGGCGGCGTCCATAAGGAGGATCTCGCCTTTATGTCCTTCCATGTAATTATCCACTCTAAATACCAGATCTCCTTTGCTGTCAAACACCGTGAAACCTTTGCAATTAAACAGCAACGATTTTGTCCAGACGGTGAGAACCACCGGATCCCTTCCTTCGCCGACCGCAGGACACTTCGGCCTCTCCAAGAAGGAGCGGAGGGTAGCGGAGGAGTTGGGGTAAACCTTTGTCATCCGCGTGAAATAGGCGACACGATGGAATTAGGTGAAGTAAAAGATCGAGGAGGAGCTCGTCGAAGTGAGGAGCTGCTATGGCAAGTTTGGTGTGAGAGTCACCAGACACAGGTATGCCTGTATATATAAGCGAGAGAAAAGAATGAGGCGGAAAGTGGTCCATGGACAAGAAAGTCTACACAATATATCCCGTCTGCTACGTGACATGTGTCCCGAACCAATACTGTTCTGATACGTTTTGGATTGTGGGATCATAAATCACTTAAAATTAGCACCGTTTTCTTTTTTTGTTGAAATAACAAATAAATGATATCAAAATTTAACATTATAATTTAAATTTAATGATACGATATAAATTATATTATTTAAAATATTAAAAAAATTATATTATTTAATAATTAAAATTTTAAATGTAATATAATTAAAATTTAATTTTTAAATTATATTGTTTAAAATTTTTTTTTATCAAGGACAATTTTATAGGAAAAGGAAAAGAAATAGACTCAACTCATGGATTACCAATCAACCCAAACACAAAGACATGGAAACGAACCAAATACAAAGACATAAAAATGAACTATTAAATTCAAAGTGCTGGTTCTCATATTATTTATATCAATTATATTATATAACTTAATTAGTTTTAAATTTTCATTTTAAAATTTTGTTCTTCTTATCATTCCTCTTCCTGTCGTCATTTTTCCTTTCTTTTGCCTTGTATCTTCCTTCTCCTATTGGCATTTCCTTTCCTTTTCATTCTCCACTTTCATTGAGAGGATTCGGGGAAATCTCTTTCTACTTCTCTCACGGGTGCAACAGGGATTGCTCTTAAAACTCCTTCTTGTGATGATTGGCACCAATATCGACTGTGGAATTTGGGGAAAAGCAAAAATGGATGGGTTTTGGAGAAGCAATGAAAGAGGTAGATGACAGCCACCATGGTCAGGGTTCAAAGGCACTGTAAGCACAAAAAATCATATTCTATAGATCATCAAAGCATCCAAATTCATGATTTCTGATAATGTACTTCCAAAGTCTCAGCCTTTCTTCACATTCCCCAATTGAATTTTTCAGTTTCGATGATATAAGATTTACGGGAAAAAAAAAATCTAATGACTACAAAAAATAAAAGAATCTCATAAACTACTTCATCGAAACTACACAAAGAAAAAGAAATGGTTATTCAACCTTTCAACTGAATCAGGTAAACGCAGCAAAAAAAATAAAAAAATAAAAAGGATTTTTTTATTTATTATCTTGTAATATAAGATAAAATATAATAAATATTTATTTTTAATTAATTTTTATTAAAAATATAAATTTTAATTTAATTAATTAATTAATTAAAACATTCATATATTAATAATATTAAAATATATATTAACTCTTATAAATTTTAATATAAATTAATTATAAAAAATATATTTATTACATGTACAAGTTAAGTAAATCCATGTAACAAAAAAAGAAAAAAAAGGAGTAGAAACGACCCAAAGAAAGGAGAAAGGAAGGTAAGAAACGGTGCTAGTTAGAAGCAAAGAAACGGTGTTAGTTTTAGGTGTTTAACGGTCCCACAATCTAAAACGTGTCAGAAAATTATTGGTTCACAATACAGTGACATACCCGGGATATCGTAGACTTTCTCCCACGGACATGAAAGAGCCGTGGGTGGCCTGGCCGCCCCCGCTTTGAAAGTGCGTGGAAGTTGAACTGTAACACGTGGGACCGCGATAACATCAAATGACGTCGGAGAGCATCTGATAGGACCAAGGAAATTGGGTTAATGCCATCTATCGTCCCTCTACTATTAAAAATAGTGCAATCTAAACCTTCTACTATGAATTTGCTCCATGTCATCCCTCTACTATTAATTAACTCCACCTATCGTCCCTTTACAATTCAAAAGAATGTCAATGTTGTCCCTCCATCAATGTAAACTAACGGTGCTCTTTATTGACCGTTAAGTGTAACGGTGACATCGATTAGGCCTTTTTCAATACTTTTTTTTTCCCACCTTACTTGTGGGACCCACCTTGCCCACATCATCTCTAACAAAATTTTTTTGCCTTATCGCTGCCTCCCTAACATGGATCCTGCAGACGGGAACTATGGAATTTACAATGGGTAATTTTCAAATAACAAAATATGAAAATTTCATTATTTGAGAAGACAATGAATAAATAAGGATGATAACTTAATTATTATTATTATTTTTGAATTAAAACACAATCATACAGCATCTATATGAAAGATTTCTATATCAGTGATAAGAACACATAATAGATCAAAGAAAATCCAACTAGAAAAAGCAATCAGAGTAAATCAAGTTTACCATAAAACAAATATAAAGAAAGACAGTAAAAGTTACACCAACAACCTCTAAGGAACTTGATATTTACAAATTCCTTTGATTGACCGTTCCAAAAGCTGGACATCCTTCAATCTACTCTTGAAGATGAGCTTGGTTTCCAAGATGCTAGGGCAAGAAGATCAACAGTCACCCTTAATTTCTGCATAGTTGGTCACCAGATCTTAGGAAACAAACAAAGAAAACAAGAAAACAGTAAAGAAAGAAACAGAAAAGACCACTGGAAGGGCCCCAAAAGAAAACTGACAGACCACTCAAGGTGGTCATCGGACACCGGAGCACAACAAGTCAGCTCCACCATGCATGAGAAGCCAGAGGGCTTCCCAACACCCAAAAGCTTAGGAAGCCAAAGGCTTCTGAGCACCAAAAAACAAAAAAACCAAGCTTGGGAAAGATGTAGTCAAAAGAAGGAGACTTCTAGAGAGAGAAAGTCTAAAAGAGAGTAAAATTTTTTTGCTGATTTAGGATGACAACTTTATTATTAGTTTATCTAAAAGTATAAAGTTTTTAAAATTTTAAATTAAATAGTAAATTTCTTTTTTTTTTTTCAAATGATAATATGAAATTTTATAATCTTTTTTAATTTTTTTAAAGATTTATTAGAGAATAATGATAACATAACAAATGACGATCTTAATCAAAATAGGATAATATTCATGTATTTAAATTAAAAAAGTAAAAATTTACTATATAATTTAAAATTCCAAAAATTTTATATCTTTGAATAAAAAAATGATAAAATCATATTTTTATCTAATCCTTTTCTAATCATTTGAGAATTCACGAAATTTCAAATTCATCCGAACAGAACACCAGCCATTATCTGTGCAGATGCAAAAAATTTCATTTACAATCAATGGATTCCCTTACCATTCTTTGCAATTTTCTTTCTCAACAAAAAAAAAAAAACCAGTGTGTTGAAAATGCAAAGAATTTTATTCGAGATCAAACAAAATATAAAAAGAGTAGGAATTGTCGCAAAGAAATTTTTTTTTAAAAAAAAAACCCCTACTGAATATGTTAGTAAATTATATATTTCAGTATGTTACAAGGTTACCT